GGGGGGTAAATCCAAAAACTCATGTGGGAAAAATGTTAAAGGGAAGTCCCCAAATAACTATCTAGTCAGTGATTCCCAACTGATAAATACTGGGCAGATTCCCAAATTCTTCTGAGAGTTTGGATGATCTAGAGATCAGTACAGACAACAACCTAAGCAAGCAATACAAATCAGTGACTAACTTTGGAGGAAAAAAACTGTGCAGAAAAAAAAATGCAGTCACAGTAACATGGTAGGCATTATTTGAGAATAAAAGAGAACAAACCAAAGTCCACCAAAAACCAAACATAACAACCAATTAAGTGACATATACATAAGTCAAACCAGTGAAAAAGAGTGCGTTTTTAATCAGCTAAATCCACACCAGGTCTGATCATTTTACTTAGAACTAAAGAAAAATGGAAAGACTTGTTTATCATTCTGCATGCCATCCTAGGATCTCAGACCTCCTAAAAGATTTATAAATGTATTTATTACAAGCTAGATGTATAATTCAGTGTAGAATGTTTCCCTAGCAACCCTGATGCCCTGGGGTGGGGGGGGGTGTAGGGAGAGTTCCTAAATAGACTTTGCACATTAAAGTTGACCCCTTGATGCCTTAGATTCTGTAACTTTAAAAAATATTTTTTTATTATTTATATGTATGTGTATGAGTGTATTGCCTGCATGTCTGCAAAAGCGAGGTCAGAAGGGGGCGTGAATCCTCTGGAACTGGAGTTATGGTGGGAGCTGAGAACTGAATCCCGGTCCTCTTCAAGAGCAGTCAGTGCTCTTAAGCTCTGAGCCATCACTCCAATCCCAGATTTTGCAGTTTTTGATTAATGCAAAAGCTCATTAATTTTAGCCCCTCTCCAATTCAATCACTTGAGTCATAGGCAAATGAATGCACAAAGTTGTGTCCCAATAAAACTTTAGAAACTAAAATTTATTTCACATGTAACAAAGCATCTTTTGATTTTTTTTTCAACCATTATGAGTGTATAATTCATTCTTAGACTGCAAGCCATACAAAAAAAAAAAAAAAAAAAGTGCCAGGCTGGATGTGGTCCCTTAGCTATAGTGTACCATCTGCTGTCATGAACCAAAAGCAGACTGGTGGATATTAATCTTCACTGAGGTTCCAAACAGCCCATATTACCCACAAAAGACAAATCAGTACAGCAACCACAGCTGTACAACCACATTCATAAAGCCTGCTAATACTGGTCTCTTAAAGACTTTGTTTATTTTACAGTGAGAAGAATGAACCCAGGGCCTCAAGAATGCCGAGTTAACACTGTCAACTGAAAGAGTGTGGTCCCTTTGTGTCTGCCTTCGTTCTCATTTCAATCTTTGTTTTGACTTTATGTACAATGGGAGGTCTAGCACATGCTAGGACCAGTGGTACCACTAAGCTTTACCCCCAGCCTTCTTTATCCTTTCAACTTTTGAGACAAGGGTCTAAGTTATTCAGGCAGACCTTGAACTTGTAATCCTCCAGCTTCAGCTCTTGAGTAACTGGGATTATGAGTGTGCATCACCAAGCCCAGTACCAATTCAATCCTTCCTTTATTTAATGTGTATGAATGGTTTGACTGCATGTATCTAAGTGCCTATGTACATACAATATCCATGAAGGTCAGAAGAGAGCATCAGATCCCCTGGAACTGGAGTTAAGGACAACTGTTAGCCACCAAGTGGGTGCTGGGAACTGAACTGGGGTCCTCTGCAAGATTATTCAGTGCTCTTAACCACTGAACCACCTCTCCAGCCCCTCAAGTCAATATTTTTGTCTACTTGTGTGTGTGTGTGTGTGTGTGTGTGTGTGTGTGTAAATATGCAGGTATGCATGCATGTGAAGGCCAGAGGGTGACATCTGGTGTCTTCCCCTTCAATTGCTTTCCACCTTATTTTTTGAGACTGAGTCTCTCACTAACCTGGAACCCACTGAATTAGCTAGACTGGAGTGAGTTCCATATACTCACCTCACGGGTCCTCATGCTTTCTCAGCAAGCACTTTACTACGCCGTCTCCCCAGCTTTTCATTTCAAGTTTGAAGCAGCAGAGAATACAACATGGAAGGATGTGAGGAAGAGGAGAGAACAAGGTACAGAACCAGGTAACTAACCCCTTTTTTCCAATACAGGGTTCTGAGCCTGATCATGACTAGCTGGGAATGTTCTTTAGGATGTGGCTTATCTTTATTATTTACTCAGAGAAAGGGTTTGGAAATGTAGCCCAAGCTGGCCTGAACTCTTGATCCTCCTGCCTTGGTCTCCTTAGGTGTGGTCACGTGGATCTGACTTTAAAAATTGTATTTATTTTTGGTAGTGGGGATAGCACCAAGGGCCCAGCACATGCTAAGTATGTGCTATTACACTGGGATATGCCCCTAACCCCAGAAAAGATTTTAAACTACCTGTACCAGTCTCTAATACCTGAAGCTAACTGGTATGAAGTTCTCTAAAGCCACATCTGTACAGAAGACCCTACAGATTGTGTGGCTAACTAGACATGATTGAGGAGAGACAGACAGAATGCTCTAAGACAGCCAAAATTATTTTAGGCTATCTTTAGTGTCCCACACCCCACGCTCCAGAGGCCCAGTGCTGCATCTCACATGCTACGTAGGTAGTCTCCCACCAAAATACAGGCCTGGTCCTTGTTCCTTTCTATTTTGAGAAAGTTGTCCAAGCAGGCCTAGAACTCACTCTGGATCCCACACAGACCTTCAATGTGTGTTCCTCCTGCCTCAGCCTCCAGAACAGCTGAGATGACAGGCCTCTGCTAGCAGGCCCAACTTTTATTAACCATGAACCTCTGTATCTGACCTAACATCCTCTTTACTAGGTAAAACTCTCAGAACATATTGTTAAGCTTCATAGACCTCTACTTTCACTGACCCCAAAACTAAGACTGCTGTGTAAGAAAACACCTAAAACCTCAAGAGATTGCAATGCTCTGCAACCTGATGCCCCACCATTTGGTGAATGTACAGATCTATAACTTTCTTTTGTTGTGTGATTTAGAAAGTTCATGTAGGGCTGTATGGAGCATGCGCGCTCTCTGGGCGCACTCCCCCGAATGGCACTCCCCCGCCACACCTGGCTAGTCGATGGCGGGTCCGCAAGCTTCCCCGCCAGTGTGCGCGCACTCTCTGGCCGCGGCCGCGGTGCCCTGCAGGCTTTTCCCGGAGGCTCCGGCCCTGTGTCTCTGGAGCTTCCTCTGCTACTGAAAAGCATTGTTCAGCTGAAATCCCGTCTGTATTTCACCCGTGTACTATTCCTCAGGATGCAAGGTTCCTGGCCACAGAACCATGCAGGGAAGAGTACAGAGACGGCGAAAGCTAGAATGTCCGTAAGCTGTAAGCCGGTCACGAGGGAGTGCGCCCCCCCGGAGAGACTGGGCCGCTGGTAGTGACACAGGACTCAAGACTTAGTCTGTGTTACAGCTTTATTCTCTGAGACCCTGCTCTCTGTGTCCCAGCTTTCTGCGACCCAGTTCTCTGCAGCCCAAATCTCTGACCATTAAGAGAAGACTAAGGCATTTATACCATGGGGGTAGTGGTAAAAGCTTTGGCTGTTAGATGCTTTGTGAGGCATTGTATTTACATATGGAAGTGGGTTTCTGCCAGACTGCTGTCTGCTAGGAAAAATTACAGGAAGGCATGGTACCTGTTAGAGCCAAAGGCCATGTTTATGTTATGGCATTTGTGGCGGACACTTCAAAAGGAGAGACAGGAAAGATGCCAGGAAGACATCTTGCTATGAAAGGAGCCCGCAGCACATAATTCCCGAGCTGCAGGAGCTGTCTGGTGTGAAGGGGCTTCGACTTTGCATAACAGAGGCTCCCAACAGGGCTGGAGATACCCATCCAGTGAGAGAACACTTGCCTAGCATGCAGAATGCCCTGGCTAGACAACTGTACCTATGTACATACACACACACACACACACACACACACACACACACACCCTCAGGTATCCTCTTCCATGAAGGAGCCTGTTATTCAGTTATCTAAACCCCTGTCCCAGGACCTCAGTCGCTCTACTTCCTGCAGAATAAGTTCTATTATTTCCTTGGAAACAAGAACTCTTCTGGATCTACAATGGAAAGTGTTAAGAATCTATCCAGATTCACCCAGTTGAATGTAAGAACCATGTTTAAACCAGTGCTAAGAAAAAGGCCTAGCCTGATGACACACACCTTTAAAATCAGCCCTTGGGATGCAGAGGCAGGCAGATCTCTGTGAGATAAAGGCCTGCCTGGTCTACATAGAGTTCCAGGTCAGCTGGGATTGTCTCAAAGAAAAAGAAAATAAAGATACTACTTTCCAAGTACTAAGTACTATTTCACTCAACAAGCCAATGACACATAACCAAAGGCCTTTGATCCACAATATGTAAACACATCATAAACCAGTAAGATGCCCCTCTCAAATGGGTAAAAAGAAAGGACCAACTATGGGAACCAGCAATTTAATACAAACAAAAACAACAAATGTGGGCAGTGTTCAACTTCACAAATAGCCAAATGCAATTAAAGCCAGGTAACGTTTCGGGCACACTTTGGAATTACATTCCTTGGCTAAAGGAATTACATAATCGGGCTAAATGAATGTTTAAGCCTAAGAACAAAGCACTACGGAAGTGCCAGTGATAGCCTGGACAGGTGCTTTTAGCTCAAGCCATTATTACCAATGATATGTTAATGACACTGGAGTAAACCCTCTCCCTATTTTTGGTTTGGACACAGGGCTTCCCCGGGTTACCCACGCTGTCCAAGAACTTCCCTGTCTCCCGAGTGCTGGGATGACAGGCATGCGCGACCGCGGGCCGCCAAAGCAGCCATCCTTCAAACATCAACCTCCCGCGGAAGACCAACAGCACCGACAGCGAATTACAAACTTTTCCAGGATCATCAGGTGAGAAAGCCACGCCCACAAATTTGGGGACCTCATAAAGTCTAAAGTACTTTTCTGTGACCACTTCACACGGCTTAAGTACTACCTCCTGGATTTACCGGAGACCGCGCGGAGAAGCGGGACGCTGGGCTAAGGGATGCGGGGATACCGGATGCTGGGCGCGGGGATCGGGATGCGGGGCGCGGGGATCCGGATGATGGGTGTGGGGATGCGGGGCGCGGTGTAATGGGCGCCGAGATGCGGGGCATCGGGATGCAAGCTGCCGGGATGCGGGGCCTAGGGGCCGGCACCGAGGGCGGCCGGGCTCCGGGTCGCGCTGACGGGTGAGGCGGGGCACCGGGGCGGCGGGGAGGGAAGAGTCGGGGCGGCGGACCCAGGCCGAGACCGCGCCCTCTGACAGCTGCGCAGCCGCCCGGGAGCCCGAGCAGGGCGGGCCGCCAGAGGAAGGCAGGCCGCGCCGCAGCCCGGCCCCCCGCACAGCCCTGCCCGGCTCTCCACAGAGCCGCTCCGCCGACCCCAGCGACATGGCGGCCCCCGCCCGGCCCCGCCGCGCCTCACACCCCACCCTGTAGCCCTCGAGTCGCCGCCGCCCACTGCCAGCCCCCCCTCGCTGGCCCGCCTGCCCGCCCTCCTGGGACCCGGTCCGCTCCTCCCCTCGCGGCTGCTCACCGCGCTGAGGCGGATCCCGCTGGGTGACTGCGCCGCCATCTTGAGCGAGCTACAAAGCCAGGTCCGGCCTCGGTTGCAAACCGACTAGGAGGCTGTGGGGCCGCTGAGGGGGCTCGACGCCCCGCCCACTTCCGGGGCGGGGCGGGCGCGCCAAGGTCCCGCCCGCTCACTTCCGCCTCCAGGCTTACCAAATTGCGAGGGTGAGCCGAGGGGCTCGTCCGACTGGTTCTGCCAGGCTGCTCATTCAGGTCCCTTAGGAGCAGCGCGCAGGGGCGGGGCGAGGCTCGCTCCTGGCAGCGCGTAGCAGGACCTTGAGGCCGGAGCGGCGCATTTGAAGATTGGCGCCGAGTACTTCGTGTTGATTGAGCTAGGTTATGAATCCCATTGCAGAAATGTATTCCATGCCCGCTAGTAGTGGTGATTTTTTTTTTAGATTATTTTATGTCTATGAGTGCATTGCCGGCATGTATGTCAGTGCACCACGTGCGTGCAATGCCCGCGGAGGCCAGAAGAGGGCGTTGGATCCCTGGGACTGCCGGTTGTTAGCGGCCGTGTGTGTGTGTGTGTGTGTGTGTGTGTGTGTGTGTGTGTGTGTGTCGCGCTGGGAATCGAGCCTGGGTCCTCTGCAGAAGCAGCCAGTGCTCTTAACCGCTGAGCCATCTGTAGCCCCAGTACTGATGTTTTGAAGCCTTATTAACGCGAAATGACAGAAATCAATTGTTCGGCTTTGCTTGAAAAGGATTCACTTTTCTACTGTTAGTCATGGGGCCTGGGTACATTTATTCAGCATTGGACTAAGTTGCAGAAGTGAAGCGAGTAGGGGCTGGAGAGATGACTCAGCGGTTAAGAGCACTGGCTGCTCTTGCAGAGGACCTGGGTTCGAATCCCTGCACCCATATGGCAGCAAACAACTATCTGTAACTCCAGTTCCAGGGGATCCGACGCCGTCTTTTGTCCTCCACGGACATTGCACAGCACCGGTGCACTTAACATACATGTAGGCAGTACACTCACACACATAAAATAAAAATGATACATAATATATATATATATATATATAAAAGAAGCAAGCAAGGACTGCCAAATACTGCAGGTGAAGGGCTGAAAGATTTGTTTGCAAGTGTATCTACTTCGACTTTCATGCAAGTCATACATTTTATTTGTAAAACTTCAAGTAATACAAAAGTCTAAAATTTCCAGATTCCTCCGAACAATTTAGTGCAGGTTGCTCCAGACTTACTACTAAATATTGCTTGCTATCTGGAATTCTCCACCTTTACGATTCTTCAACTTTCATTCTGTCTTCCATACTTTGACTTGAGGTTTGTAAATAATGAAACATTTTAAATTAGCAAATAAGGTCATGTGTGATGGTGCAAGCCTTTAATCCCAGACCTAGGGAGGCAGAGGCAGGCAGATCTCTGTGAGTTGGAGGCCAGCCTCGTCCACAGAGTGACTTCCAGGCAACCTGGGACCAGGGAGACCCCGTCAAAAACAAACAAAAATTAGCAAATAAGGAAATGTAAAAAACAAACAACCCTGATTTCTATGGTCACACTTGTCAACAGTGGGGTAAATGATGTAAATCACCTAGATGCTCTAATTAGTGTCAATTTGTGATGCTGTGGACTGCACAATTTCTCATTTCCTCTGACTTTCAGATTATATTGCTGGGCCTTTTGTCACCAGCTGTAGGGCTATAAAGGGCCTACTTGTGTCTTGGCAAGGTGAAAATGCTGAGGGGCGCCAAGGTGAACAAAACAGTTTTCCATTCTTGCAGAATGTGTGCGTGTGAGGACAGTTGAGCAGGTGGTGCCTCATTATTGAGTTGTGACATCAACTGAGTGCCAACACTCCTTTTGAAAAATGAAACAAATGAGTAGAATTTTGAGAACCATCTTAGTAGATAGCTCCAGCCAGCCTCAAATTCAATCCCATCTCAACTTAACCTAGAAACTCCATTACAGGAATGTCCAAAGGTTTGTTTCCATAGTGATTCTAAATCTTGTCATGTTGACAATTGTGATGGTTTGAATGAAAATGTCCCCCATAGGCTTCAAGTATTTGGACATTGTGTCCCCAGATGGTGGCGCTGTTTTCAGAGGTTTTAGAAGGAGTGGCTATCCTGGAGGAAGCACGTCACTGGAGGTGGGCTTAGAGAGTTCTTAAGCCTTGCAGGATCTCCAGTTGCTCTCTTGCTTCCTGTGCCTGCTGGAAGATGTAGTGTCCCCGACCGCTTTCCGTCTTGCCGGCAAGAACGACGCGGGAGGACAAGTCAGGATCCTTCTGCAGCAGTTTATTTCATAAGCCTCTTACATAGCATACTAAGGATGAAGACCGAAGACGCCGAGAAGTGGGAGAGCTGTTGCTTATATATGCCCTAAAGGTCCCATTTATGACGTATAAGAAGCGGATTGGTTGCTGGAGATCACGCCACGGGAGGAGGCGAGGGAGAGCAGGCTCTTGTGCA